ATGACTTCATGAAGGATTAAGGCCTGATGCCAAGAAATCTCAGCAGATGGCTAGAGGCCTGTTTGCTGTCTAGGATATTATACAATGAGAGTCAGGTGATTTTTGACATAAATATTTTTGGGGTTTGTATCACTCCAAATCATCTCTTTATCTCCACCAGAAAAAGTGACTGAGAATCAGGAATTTTGGACCACAGTTCCAGAGGAACATTAAGGCTTAGAACCAAGTATCTTGCCAAATTCTATGGAAAATAGCCTTTCAGTGACCTCTAGATTCCGTAATCAGGTCAACCTGACACAGAGCTCCATGGTGCTGGATAAACAAGTTGTCAGAGACCTTCTGCAATGTAGAAAAATCTAGGTAAGTAGCCTATCCAGATATCTGGCCTAGTTGCCATGTTGTCTACAAAACAATGGCAGACAGGTGCACCTGAATGCATGAGCATTGAGAAATGAAAGGAAGTCCTTCTGTTCGGTACACATTAGGTTCATAAACAGCCAGGTACTACAAATGTGGGGCTGTGAATGCTAGTGCTTTCTGAAGCACTCTATCGGGAGGCTTCGCATGGCAGTACTCCACCTCTCCAGCTGCTCCTTCCATCCTCACCGGTGCCAGGGGCTGCCTAAGCTTCTTTTTCCCTGGGTGCTCCCCAGGGTCTGGACTTTGTCTGTGGGATTCCCTCTGGACAGCATCATGTTCACTGTGGCTTGCAGGGTTAAGCATTTAGTGCTCAGCTTTCCAAGATGGTGACCATAGCCTGTCCTTCCTTCTTGTCACCAGCTCCACCCAGGCAGGCAAATCATCTCCAGGTGACTTTCCCATGGACTCAGGCTTCAGGATCTTCCTCCTGCCCTTCCTTCAGGCTGGGGACAATGGGAATAAGGCAGCCTCAACCCTAGGCTGAGAACCAGGCTTTCTGCATTCCATGGCAAACACAGGTGGCTCCAGACTAGACTGAATGAGGGGGTTCTTCTAGCAGAGCAAAGAAGCTGGGTTTAGCAGCCCGCTAGGGAGGAGGCCCGCTGTCATCAACTTACTCACGCTACTTGCTTCCCTCGTATACATCCTTTAACTATTGTCCTTTGTTCTCTTATGAAGGGTGCCCTATCTCACCTGTTCCTCTGGGGAAAAAGAGCTCCCTGGGCTCCATCATGAGGGATGATTCAGGGTCAGCAGATTTGACCTTAGAAGGTAGTTCTTGAACCTCCCAAGGGTGCCCCACTGCCCAAGACTGCCCTTGGGGACTAAAGCAGGAGGGGAGAAGGAAGACTTGCTGACTCCACAGGGGGAGAGAAACAGTCCAGACAGGATTGCATGATGAAAGGAGGCTGGGAAACACTGAGCACCTCCCACGCCCTGTCTAGGAAAGACAGAAAACCAACAGCAAAGGAGTCAACTACACCTGTAAAGTGGTGGGCTGTGAAGAAAAGGATCTGCTAGTGAGTGGGCAGGGATCCTTCCCCTCTAACTTCTCCTCTGCTGTCTTAGAAGCCCTCATCATCTCTCATGATCCCTCTCAGCTAACCTTACTTTCTATTGAGGTCCACAGACTTGTTTCCAGAGCATTCCGTGGCAGATATCAGAAAACAAAACATGATCCAGGCATCAGTGGCTCACGCCTGTAATCCTAGACACTCAGGAGGCTGAGATCTGAAGATCACAGTTCAAAGCCGGCCCAGGCAGGAAGGAAAGTCCATGAAACTCTTATCTCCAATTTATCACCAAAAAGTTGGAAGTAGAGCTGTGGCTAAAGTGGTAGAGCACTAGACTTGAGCAGAAAATATTAGGGTCTGGGATCAGGTCCTGAGTGCAAGCCCCAAGACTGGTACAAGGTCCCATGATTTCCCTCATTTGCAATAACTAGTATATGTCTGGGACAAGTAGAAAAAGGTCAAAAGCTATGTATATATGACCAGATAAGATGAAGTTAAGCGAAATGAACCCCAAGATAGGGACACAAGTGTTTTTTTTTCTTTCTTACTATTGTTTCTAATGTGTTTATAAGGTACCATGTGATTTTTTTTGTTGCTTTGTATGTTCCTCCCCCACGGTATAACCGCTGTTTTTGATGTCGGTATAATTTGGGGAGGGGAAGGGAAAAAACAAAATGTATAACTAGGGATACAGGTGGACCCATTGCAACAATGAGATGTACATGACACTATGTTGAAAAATGAACTTTACAATTTAGGTGAAGGTGGGGTGGTGGGAGAAGTGTAGTTGTGGAGTTTGGAGGGAAGGGATGGTAGGGGAAAAACAAAGGAGGAGGCAACAATGCTTGATAAGAAATGTACTCATTACCTTGCTCATGTAACTGTAACCCCTCTGTACAGTATTTTCACAATAACAAACATAAAAAATGAAAGAAAGGAAGGAAGAGGAAGAAAGAAAGAAAGGAAAGAAGAAAGGAAGGAACAAATAGAGGAGAAAATATGATACTTGGTGCCAAGCCTAGGGTTGGAGATAAGGTTAAACCATCTCTGTCCTGCTCAGTGACTAATGGAAGGTCCTTGTTACTATGAAATGATAAACTTCATTTGGTAGAAAGTCCATGCTTATCTTCAAAATTGCAGGTGCTGGCTTTGTAAGCACAGCCAAACACCAAGAGTGGATGAACTGAGAACCTGGTTACAGAGGAGGGAGATCAGCCCTCTTGGTTGCTGCCAAAGATGGATTTTCTCTGCTCACATTGTTTCCTCCAAGATATCCAGGAAATGTAGTTCATCCTTTGCTCTGTGCTGCTGCTCTGAGCTCCTGCAAGCTTGCAAGTTGCTTGCTGGATGCTGTTTGCTCTCCAGCCTGCTGTGGTTCTTGCAGGTACAGAAGCAAACTCCAACAAATGCTTCTTAGGTCCTAGTACCACACCCCAAACATGCATGGATGGTCTCACTTCTTTCACTGTCCTTCACGCAGCCCCCAACACATATAGATGTATGCTGCATCCGTGGTCTTGTTCTTGAAGCTTCTATAGATCAAGCTTGTATCCATGGTACTCCTTTTCTTGAATATACTACTACACTCAGCTTCCTCATGATTCCTTATGATAATGAGAGTGGCTCCTCCTCATTGAGAACTTAGATGCTGGGCATTATGCTGCGGCTTTTACATCTTCTTGCAGCCTCGCAACAACATCGTACGGTAGATATCATTTCCACCCCATTGACAGGTATCTAGCATAGCACAAAAAGGTTTAATAATTTGCATAAAGAACCCTGGTCTGACTCCAGGAAACATGCTCAGAAATAAGGCTTGACAAAGTTTTTTCTTTAAAGGAATAGAATTCTTTCAGCTTTGCAAGTCACAATCTTTGCCTTAAATGACTCTATCCTGCCCTTGTTTGTAGTATGGAAGCTGCCATTGACATTGAACACTGACAATGATATAGAACAAATACAGGTTGCTACCACCACCCAACTTGCCCATGATTCTTCCCCATCCTTATGCCACCCATGACACACCTAAAGCCCCTGACCCAAGGGGATAGAATGAATCAGTGCACTGGACCATGAGCTGGGGCATTTGTTTCCCAGAACTGGGTGGAAGTGCATTCTTCCTGAACCATTGTGCAACCAGGGTGGAGGGAGGACAGCTACTTCCGTTGTCTGGAGAAGGTGTTTCGTTCCTGCCCAGATGCTGAGTTAGTAGGAGACTCCCTCCCTTACTGGAGTCTGTGCCCCCAACAGGTTGGGGAGAAATATCTGCATTTACAACAGCCCTTTGTAGACTCATGTTGATGTGGGAGTAGGTCCTTTGTAGCCACGTGGTCCTGGAGAAGAACACACCTAGAATTGTTCTCAGTTCTCCCCACGTACTGTACTTCATGGGTGCCCTGGAAAAAGTGAACCTCATTCTTAATGAAAAGCAAGTGCGATTTCTCATTGGACAGATTGCCTTCCCTCGGAGCAGCTGTCTAGAAGAGTTGAGATATCCAACTGGAGTTAGAAATGTCAAGTTAAAACTTACTTGTGTAATCATCACACCTGTAAGGACACATTGTGGTGATTCATTGCTTCCATGTGCCCCTCAACATTCTGTACACGCCCTACTGATTCTTGATTCTTGACTCCAAAAAAAAAAAGTCAAATTCTTGGAATTTCCTTAGCGATTTTTATCTTCTTCACTTAAGGGGTGCTTTAAGATCTAAGTAAACGTTTTAGAACATCAGAGAGAAGATTGCCTATGAGTTTTCACTGGAAAGACAACTTTCCATGAGAATCAGATCGATGTATGAATGAGTAGTAGTGAGGGAGGGGCTGGTGGATGCAGACTTCCTCAGAGGTCAGGAGGCTTCTACTCCTGTCCTTCTGAAAGTGCCAGGTGGGCAATGTATCACAGGACACAGAAAATGTTGCTTAGAATGAAAAAATAATAAATGTCACTTCAAGGGGGATGATAGCTGTAAACCATCCCAATCCGGATCACAATCCAAGTACCACCAAGAACAACAGATAAGACTGGCTCAAACTTGGTGAAAAAGTTTTGCAGGCCATTTCTTGTTCAGGACCTTGGGTAAACAATGGTACGCCCTCAGAGACAGAGAGTCCCACTCAGATAGGATGGGACGTACAGGTGGAAGAGAAAACCTGTGTGGTAAGGGGGCATGCAGGGAGTGGCTGAATAAGCAGAAGGAAGGGACAATTATCACAGATCAGCTCCTTGTCTCCTTTGTTTGAGACATGACTAACTGATGACTTCAGTGACTTTATATCCAGGCTCATTGTGTTAAGATCAAGTCAAGGCTGGAAGGCAAGAGAATTTCTCCATGACTAAAGGAAGCCAAAAAGCAACCTTCAGTTTCATTCCTTTCTAGAAGGTGGGGGTGAGCTCATTATTTGTAAAGCCCAGCCCTTCCCACTCTGCAAGCTCACCTTCCAGGACTCAGCCCAGCCCATCAGCAGCACCCCATATAAGCAGCTGTCCAGGGCACAGTTCACTCATCTGTCCCTTAGCTCTGCCCTGCAGTCTCTCTCCATTCTCCAGCCTTCAAAGCTCCAGGAACCATGTCTAGCAAAACCACCATCAGGAGCCAAAGCAGCAGCCGCAGGGGCTTCAGCTCTGGCTCAGCCAGAGTGCCTGGGCTGAGCCGCTCTGGCTTCAGCAGTGTGTCTGTGTGCCGCTCCAGGGGCAGCGGTGGCATCGGGGCAGTGGGCGCAGGCTCTGGTTTTGGCAGCAGGAGCCTCTATGGCCTGGGCAGCTCATCGAGGATCTCCATGGCAGGGGGCAGCTGTGGCATCGGAGGTGGATATGGCAGCAGAGTTGGAGGCAGCTGTGGCTTTGGAGGTGGAGCCGGCAGTGGATTTGGTTTTGGCGGTGGTAGCTTTGGGCTCGGTGGTGGCGGCGCTGGCTTTGGTGGTGGCTATGGGGGCTCAGGCTTCCCCGTGTGCCCTCCTGGAGGCATCCAAGAAGTTACCATCAACCAGAGTCTCCTGACTCCTCTCAACCTGGAAATCGACCCCACCATCCAGAGGGTGAGGACCGAGGAGCGTGAGCAGATCAAGACCCTCAACAACAAGTTTGCCTCCTTCATCGACAAGGTGAGCAGAAGGCTAAGCCCTGCCTTTGGGCATTCAGAGGACCCAGCAACAGACACAAAAAGCTTCCTACGGAAGGGAGCTAAGACAGGGGACCTCAGAATGTCTTCTCAAGGGATGCTGGATATGAGCCAGGAGAGGGAACATGTAGAACTCTTCAGGGTCCTTCATTTATCTCAGTCCTACTGACAATGTGCCCAGAAGGAAGGGCTGATGGAAAGGGTGATGTCTCCCTTCCTTAGGATCTAAGAGATTACAAAGGTGTCTGCGTTTTGGGGATAGCAATTCCACTCAGGGGTCTTGTAAGAAGGAGTTAAAACAAAAAAGCAAAGAAAGAAAAGAAAAAACCAAGCAAAAGATTTCTCTGGCTATATCAAGGGAAAGATTAAAAACATTTATTTAATAGGTAGAAATGCTATTCTAGAAACAGAAGGTGACCATAAAATGAGGTAAATGAGTCTATTCTGGAAGAGATGCCTGCACCCGGTGGGAATTGAGGTGGGAATCGCATTCTTAGGCCAGGGTTGGATTCCTTACACCTGAGATACCATCCCTAATGAAAAGACCTTTGTACATTTATGTCAGTATATACGACTTTAAAACTAGACTTGGCAGTGTGCCTAGACACAGGAGACAAAATTGACTCCATAACTGGGAATGCAAAAGACCCTCACTGGTCCATAGGTATTTCTTTGGTGGGTCTGTGTGATGCCAATGTTAAAAGATTGGCTAAAGAGAAATCTCAGCCTGAGCCCAGGACCGTAGGCCAGGAAATGCCAAGAACCTGCTAACAGACAGTCTATTCTTTTGACCTTTGCCTAACAATTGACCACTTTCTTTCTCACACACCCTCCTTTATCCTAGGTGAGATTCCTGGAACAGCAGAATAAAGTCCTGGACACCAAATGGGCCCTGCTGCAGGAGCAGGGCACCAAGACTGTGAGGCACAACCTGGAGCCTTTGTTCGAGCAGTACATCAACAACCTCAGAAGGCAGCTGGACTCCATCACTGGGGAGCGAGGCCGCCTGGACTCTGAGTTGAGAGGCATGCAGGACGTGGTGGAGGACTACAAGAACAAGTAAGTTGAAGGGAGGAGAATGGCTGTTTCCAACACTCACCCCTCACAAACAGTGGGCACCATTCTTCAGTGAAATGTGTTCATAGAAAAGAAAATGACAAACTGTTACCAGACAGCAGTGTATCTAAGATCAAATAGGGTTAGGAGAAAATAAAAAAGAGAAGTTTCAGATAAAAATTATCTTCTACATTTTGTGGGGACAGACAGGATGGACATAAACAATGTGGGATTGCAGGCTTTGCTTTCATCCATCCCTGGTTCAAATGAGTCAACCCTTCCTTCTCCTAGATATGAAGATGAAATCAACAAACGCACAGCAGCAGAGAATGAATTTGTGACCCTGAAGAAGGTGAGATGATCCACTGAGAGCTTCCAGTTCTCTGCTGAAGGAGAGCCATGGCTCTGTCTCTCTGGCCCATCCTACAGGAAGATGGGCAGGGAGATGGAGATGGGGGCTCAGCTGACTCCTCCCTTGTTGGTGGGTTCTGTTTCTAGGATGTGGATGCTGCCTACATGAATAAGGTGGAACTGCAAACCAGGGCAGACGGTCTCAGGGATGAGATCAACTTCCTGAGAGCCTTATATGATGCTGTAAGCTTCCCCCCTCTCCTTTATGCACTCTGCACAGTGGGAAGAGCTGGGAGCTGGGAAGCTCTGGTTCTTCACAGGCAGAGTTGACCTTTGCCCCCTGTGTTCTTCAGGAGCTGTCTCAGATGCAAACCCACATCTCAGACACTTCTGTGGTCCTGTCCATGGACAACAACCGTAACCTGGACCTGGACAGCATCATTGCAGAGGTGAAAGCCCAATATGAAGAGATTGCTCAGAGGAGCCGTGCTGAGGCTGAGTCCTGGTACCAGACCAAGGTGAGCAGGGAGGTGGCAGATGTCAGTTATCTCTGTGTCCCTCACATTGAATAATGGAAATATCTGCCTTCATTGAGAAAGGAAGATGAGTCCTACCATAACAAGTGTGTGCTGCACTATTAGAATTGACTTGTATAGCACTTAATGTTCCATCTATGAATCAAAAATAAACTCAGAGGCAGGAGGAAAGCCACAGTAGATAAGGACTTAGATACCTTGAAGACATACTCTGAACTCTAGCTCTCAAAACACAGTTCTGACCCTGTCAACCTTTAGAGAACTCTGTGCTTTCCCAATGACAATGTCTGTGTCATACTTATGAATTATTCAATGTCCTTGTCACATGATTTCTTGAGGAGAAGTCATTAGGTAAGAATGCTCATTTGAATGTGAAAGAGCTCATTGAGTTTTCTCTTTTCAACTGACTTACAGTACGAGGAGCTGCAGGTCACAGCAGGCAGACATGGGGATGACCTGCGCAACACCAAGCAGGAGATTGCTGAGATCAACCGCATGATCCAGAGGCTGAGATCCGAGATCGACCACGTCAAGAAGCAGGTACTGTGAGCAGAAACAGTCAGAATTCATTGTTAAATCATATCCTTGGACTCTATGGGGGAATGAATATATCTAACCATCTCCAAGGACTACAGCATAAGTCTATCTCCCTCGTTTTCCCCTCCTAGTGTGCCAGCCTGCAGGCTGCCATTGCTGATGCTGAGCAGCGAGGTGAGCTGGCCCTCAAGGATGCCAGGAGCAAGCTGGAAGGGCTGGAGGATGCCCTGCAGAAGGCCAAGCAGGACATGGCCAGGCTGCTGAAGGAATACCAAGAGCTCATGAATGTCAAGCTGGCCTTGGACGTGGAGATTGCCACCTACAGGAAGCTGCTGGAAGGCGAGGAGTGCAGGTGGGTACCACCACACATGGCCTGTAAACTCTGAGGATACCTTCAGAATGTCAGGCACTGAGCATAAAGTTATAGGACACTGGTTAGAGTCATTACAGATATGGAAAGGATCAGGACATCCTACAGAATGCAGGTGACAACTCCCTGGGTCTCACTTCTCTATTCTTCCTCCAGGTTGAGCGGTGAAGGCGTGGGACCAGTCAACATCTGTAAGTATCGAGTTGTGTGTCTTCCTGTCTCAGCCCTTGTGAGCTGGCTTGGTCTGGCACAGGGAGCTCACTGTATGTGTTGTCTCCTTGTATCCTTCCCACAGCCGTGGTGCAGTCCACCGTCTCCAGTGGCTATGGCAGTGCCGGTGGTGCCAGCAGTGGCTTAGGCCTAGGCGGAAGTGGCAGCTACTCCTACAGCAGTGGTCACAACCTTGGAGGTGGCTTCAGTTCTAGCAGTGGCAGAGGCATTGGGGGCAGCCTGAGCACCTCTGGGGGCAGCACCTCTACCATCAAATACACTACCACCTCCTCCAGCAGGAAGAGCTACCGGCACTAAAGTCTACCACTGAATGTGGTCCCTGGATGCTCTCCTTACCTCTGGCTGCAAAGTCTTTATGCTCAGGTGCTTGTCCTTCTCTGTTCTCCTGCCCCTGCTCTCTAGTTGGAGCTGAGGATGCCACAGGCCCTTGGTGTTCCTCTGTCAGACCTCATGGCTCACCTGTAAAATGTCAACCTCTAACTAAACATCACAATTCATGTACATGTGGTGCTCACTTCATTCCTAAGTCATCAAGGTCTTGCTTCATTTGTTCTATCTCTGAGGCCAAGCCTGATGAGAAAAAGGATCTCTGCCCAGTTTATTCTAGAAATCCCTCTTTGGGTCTTACTCCAGAACAAGGCAGCTCCTCTATAATTCCCAGTGGCCCCAAAAACGCCCATGGGACACTTCTGTGAACCACCCTGGTGATAGCTGTGATTGAACTTCGATGAGTCCTGTGACTTAGAACCTCTCTCTTTATGATGTTGTCTCTTTGCTTTGCTTTCTTGTAATTACTCAATAAAGCAGATTTATAATGTAATTCACCTCTCATTGTTGCCTTTCTTTAGTTTCAAAGGTTCTTAACTTTTTCATAGAAGTGGTTTCTGAAAAGGCCTTTTCACATTCTATGAGCTTCTCCTTTCTCCTTTAGAGACAGTTAGTAAGTAGCAGTTTGCTATTCTGATGCTCAGGATGTCTGTCCAGATCAATTCCAGCTAGATTCTTACCAAGCAAATGGAGGAATCTGGCTCACCATTAGTAGACATTCTGTTTTAACTTTCCATACTTGTAATTAATAGTGTATTCCCTGTCATGTGAGCTCTAAGAACTTTTGTCTCTTATGTCAGAGCTAGACCATTATGTTCAATTTGGGAATCATATCCTTGGTTAATTACAAGTGATGTGACCAGAATGTGAAATATTAGTTGTATAATAATGTATTCCCTCATGACCAAGAAGCCTGCCTGATGTCAGGTAACAGTAGCCATGAATAGCTTTCGAACTGGAGCTACACTTCTAGAAATGTCCTAAGGAAATTTATGAACCCAGAAAGGTGTGTGGATGGGGGTGTGTATCTCAACTCAACATTCTCCACAACCCAGAAAACTTGGAGCCATTGACGTTGGTCATATTAAGGACCCAAATACTTAGGTAATACTCAAACTCTTATTTCTTCATGTGGGAACAAGTAGCAGAATATTCTTTCCTTCTTTTACTCTCAGTACATCATAGAGACTCAAAAAAAACCTTACTCTCCAGGTTATTGATCAGAAAGGATAATTCTATTCCTCTCTCAGGAATGATTTGTTCTGCTTTAATGTCTAGGAAATGGTTGAGTGAAAATCAAGAATAAAGGTTGGGATAAATCAGCTAGCTTTGACTCTCCTAGGCTTGCTAGTGACTTTTATCATCCTAACTTTCCAATTCTCTCCCCCCCCCCCCCCCCACAAAATACTAACTCTCAGATTGTCACAAAAAGTAAATAAACTCTCAGATTCTCGTCTCATAGGATATGACTGTTACTTCTGGATCTTTCTGTGTTATTATCTTCTGTATTCACATTTCATTGCTCCCAGGCAATATGGTTCTTCCCAGAGCTTCTCTGGTAGCAGAACCTAAATAAGGTTCTGATAAAGACTACAGAAAGGTCCGTATAAAGACTGATTCTTAAATCTAAACACCTTTTCTGCATACATGTTTCTATGAGAAAGACCACAAAGGAATATTGTCAAGTAAAAGGAATATTGTCCAGCAAAACACCAAAAGGAAGTTAATAATATATGGGTGTACATAAAATTAAAAAAAATTTTGGGGTCTGGTGGGGGGGCCTGAACTCTGGGCCTGGGTGCTGTCCCTCAGCTCTTCAGCTCAAGGCTAGCACTCTACCACTTGAGCCACAGCACTACTTCCAGCTTTTTCCTTTTTGCTTATGTGGTGCTGAGGAATCAAACCCAGGGCCTCAGGCATGCAAGGCAAGCACTCTACCACTGAGCCACCTTCCCAGCATTATTTACTATAGGTTCTTCCTATAGGTATAATCCCTCTTTTCACTGTATTTGATTCCAGTACCCTTCATCTTGTATATACATTTTTCTCATTTGGGGAGGGGAAGGGAAATAACAAAATGGTGAGACAAGGATACAGGTTGATCCATTCTAACAATGAGATGTACAAGACAGCATGTTGAAAACTAACTTTACAACTTTGGGGAGAGGGGGGATAGGAGGAGTTGGGGAGGTAGGGAAGAAAGTGATGGTAGGGGAAAAACAAAGGAGGGTAACAATACTCAATAGGAAATGTACTCATTACCTTACTCATGTAACTGTAACCCCTTTGTACAATATCTTTACAATAAAAGAATACATATAAAAAGAAAAAAATTCAAATTTTATAGCCCATGAATGCAAAAATAGAGATATAACAAAGAACTTGATGTCAAAATTTGATAGCTTAGATTAAACAGGCTATATTCTAGAAGGTACAAAATACCCATTTCACACCAGAACAAATCAGTTGTTAGAATGTCCATAGAGCTATTGAGCATATTAAGTCTAAAACTAAGCAACGGGTTATATTTTATTGTTAAAAAAAAATCAACATTTTTTAAATGAAGTTTTACCAAACTGTGCGTGTGTGTGTGTGTGTGTGTGTGTGTGTGTGTGTGGTGTGTGTGTGTGTGTGTGTGTGTGTGTGTGTGTGTGTGTGTGTGTACATTCATGCTGGTATTACAGTTTGAACTCAGGGCTCTGAACTTTGACTCAGCTTTGTCAATCAAGGCTGGCACTCTACTACTTGGGCCACAGTTCCAATTCTGTTTTCTTTTCTGATAGTTTGAGATAAGAATCTTTCAGATTTGTCTGCCTGGAATGGCTCCAAACTTCAATCGTCAGACCTCACCTCAGCTTTCTGAGTAGCTAGGATTACAGGCAGTTCTGGCATTCAACTGTACTAAATGTTCATAATCTCACAGAAGCAGAAGGAGCAATGACTCATTCTCTACAGTGTCACTATAACACCAAAACTAGATAGTGACATTTCCAGAAAGAAGAGCTACAACTCAAAACTTCTTATATAGTCACAGAAATGTTCAATGAAATATATCAGATTGAATTCTACCGATATATAGACAATTACATACCATAAACAAGTGTCATGTATTGTAAATATGTGAAGCGATTCCAGAACTTAAAAGCAATCAACAACACCTAATAGGAGGTACCTTTTGTGTGTGTACCAGTACTGGAGCTTGAACTCAGGGCTTTGTGTTCTTGCTGGCTTTCTCAAGTGGTATTCTACCACTTGAGCCACACATCCACTTCTGTTTTGGTTGGCTGTGTAAGTAAAGATAAGAGTCTCACAGATTCATCTATGCTGGCTCAGATTTGAACCTCAATCCTCAGATCTCAGGTTCCTGAATAGCTAGGACTACAATGTGTGAGTCACCAGCACCCAGCTTAGTTATATGCATTTTAACTGATGAATGTACTACAGTAGTGTGCCATTACTATCCAAAGTCAATAATTTGGATCAGAATTCAGTCTTGTTGTTTACCTTTTGTGTGTTTTTGGGAAAAAATGCTTGTATACATTTGAACATGTATCAACCACTATAGCTTTATAACAGCAACATATAGACTCATCCTAAAGTCTACTATACTCAACCTATTCATCCCTCCCTCTTCCAACTCTGAGTGTCATTCATGCTTTTACCATCTTCCGTAAAAGTTAGACTCTCATGGTTTGTAGACTTTTCAGATTGACTTCTCTCATTTAGTAATATTCATGCCCTGTCATAGCATGATAACTCATTTTATAGTGCTTCATTATACTCCATTGTCTTGATGTACTGATTTATGTATCTATTTACCTACCAAAGGACATTTTGTGCCTTCAGGTTTTTGGCAATCAGGATAAAGCTGCTTAAAAAACCCACATCAGCATGTAGGTTTTTGTGCAATTCATTTTTTCACCTCATTTGGGAGGGCTGTGGTTGCTGGGCTGTCTGGAACAAGTATGCTTAGGTTTGAAAGACACTGCCAAGTTGTTTTCCAGTGTGGTTGTGACACATTGTGCTCACCCAGCCATGCAGGAGAGAGCTTGTGTCTAACATTTTATGCTGTCAGAGCTCTGCATTTTGGACATTGTAACAAACACTAGGTGATGATATCTCATTGTCATTTTAATTCTCTGATGACCTATGGCATGGCGTATCTACAAGTCAACATATGCTAAATTGTCAACAGTTACTTTGTTCAGTGAGGTGCTTTTTAAAAACTAGCTCATTTTGCTGGACTCTAGTGGCTCATGCTGCTCAGGAGACTGAGTAGTTAAGGATCTCAGTCTAAAGCCAGCCCAGATAGGAAACTCTATGAAACTCTCATCTCCCATAAACTATTCAGTAAAAGCTGGAAGTGAAGCTGTGGCTCAAGTGATAGAGCACTAGCCTTGAGTACAAAGAGGCCCAGTGTCCAGCACAGAGTTTAAGACCAAGGACTAGCAAAAACAAAAACAAATGAAAAAACCTAGCTCATTTTATAATTAGGTTGTTTTATGTACTTATTGTTGCATTTTAAGAGTTCTTTATATTATTAATGACAGTTCATTATTGGCAAATATTTTCTCCAGTCTGCGGTTTGACTTCTCCTTCTCTTAACATTAGCTTTTACAGAGAAGAACTTCTAATTTTTTAAAATTTTATTTTATTGTAAAGATGCTATACAGAGGGGTTAGGTATATGAGTAAGGTAATGAGTACATTTCGTGTTGAGCATTGTTACCTCCTCCTTTATTGTTCTTCCACTATCCTTTCCCTGTCCTACCTCCCCCACCCCGAAGTTGTAAAGTCCATTTCCAATATGCTGTCTTGTGGGTATTATTGTTGCACTGGGTCATCCTGTGTCCTTGTTTCAATGTTAGAACTTTTAATTTTAATGAAGTCTTATTTATTATTTCTCTCACGGTTGATGACTTGCCATGCAAAGATCAAGACCCAATTCAAAGATAGCAAAAGCAAAACTGA